CTTTCGTGGGTAAGAACCTCGCTTCTTCAGATGCCTTACCCATGAAAGCTTATGCTCACAATACTTCTGTTAGTCTTAAAGGTGCCACAGGACCCTCTGTTGCTTTTTACAGATTCAGACTAACACGGCTACCCCTCTGATTCTGGATTTATATGTTTACTTCAGCTCCACAGTATGCTGGTTTCTATTGCACACTTCCACACCCTGAGCTGCTGCAAATAAAATGCTTTAGAAGGTGGATAGTAGACCAGGAAGAAGGGAAGCAGAAAGGGGAATTCCCTACTGTAATTTCCAAGTGGGCCTGTTTATGATTCCTTTGTTGCACAAAGGCCAGATAAAGTAAGTTAATTATAAACATAATGATGATGAAATCTGGAGCAGGTTTCAGGTCTGAAATTCCCCTGGCCCTTTTCTCAAGAGCTCTCTCATGTCAGGTGTTGGATAATTTAGTTCTGGTGATGTAATAGAATAATTATAGTAAAACTAGTACCATAGGTACTAGGCTCTAGGTATTTACACAGCCCCATTTCCATAGGACCTGAGCACCTAATCATTAAACTTGCCTTTTAAAATGAGAATAAAGTGTTATCACATCAGAGAGGATTAGAATAGGATTTACAATAGAAATACTGAGAGACAAGATGGATTTGATGCAATTTCGGGATAAACTCTGTTTGTTCAGAGGAATTCACACTATGTCAAAAGAGAAGGTTATGAATTCAGTGATGGCCTAGAACTGAGTGGACACCCCAGAGGTCTCAGGAAGCACTACCCGATAACGATTTGCATGTCAGGCACACAAACTTTCAGTGCTGGGTGTGAAACTTCTGGCAGCTTAGCCCCAGATTATGCAATATCCTGCTGGGAAATTTCAGTATCTCTGACACTCTGAGTCTGGTGAAAAACCCACCCAGGCCTGCAAAATATAACAGAATAGATATTGCACTTTAGTCCAGAAGAGATTTTAATGAGTTTTGGATGATGCTGATAATGGCCATTTTTGTATAGACGCAACTGCAGAGAAAAAGGTTTCCTTTCGGAAGAGTTCGAGTGGACACACGATGCACTGTTCTCAGGCCACAATAAAAGGTTTTGCATTTACAATTAATGAAGGAATTTTAGGGGGTTGATCCTGCAAACTGTTACCCGCTGGAGTAATCCTTATTCATTTGCGTAGATTCACAAAAGTCAATGAAACCACTCACAATGTAATGACTATTTACTTAAGGAAAAGTATACAGGATTGAATCCTTATTGATTAATAATGGATGACAGGAAAAATAATTCTGAATGGGGTTTCACATAACTCCCATTTACTGCTTGGAAAATGTGTGCAACTGCCACCAGGAAAAGAACCAAAGGTGTGGTTTCTTATCATTAACCTTGTACCTTCAAAAGAAGACTATAAACAATCTGTATACGTTGCTGGCCCTGCACAACCCACCTCAGTTGATATCTCAAATTTCTCTCCCTGACTTCACTCCTCTCCTTCACCGCATCTCAAAGCAGAGTCCCAGTCTTAAAAATCCTTCTCACAACCCAAGAATTACCTCCTGTTTGCTCCATCTCACCTTTAAAGGTCTATCCCTGTGCCAAAGAGTGTTGGGTGTGACTTCTTTTGGAGACAAATCAACTTCAACCTGGCAACTAGAACAATTAAACTGTGAGGCAAAGGGGGGGTGTTCCCACATTCCAGTGGCTGAGTTCACACTTCTGCAGCATTCCCAGCACAGGGAATTATGAAAGAAACATTAAGCCCAGAGATGGTCTTGGAAAGAAAATTCTCTAGATACAAAGAGTTCAAACTACTCTGCATGAAACCTAGACAGTCTGTGAAACGACTGGTACTATCTATATTTAATAAATGAGAATTTGAATACTTGACCATACTGGAGTCTCCATCCAGCAAGCCCAGCAAGATAGTGCTGATAAAAGCCGCAAAATGCTAGTCACATGCTGCAGATATTTAGACAGAGAGAAAGGGCAAGGAGTTCACAAGAATTATAGCTATTCTACATTTTGAGGATTTTGTCAGCAAACACCCAGGAGCCATCATTCAGGGGCATTTGTGGGCCATAAGTGGCAGATTGACAAAGATACCAGCCCCATGGTGTCCCAAGACAATGTGGCAAAATCTGTTTTAACAGAGGCTTTTACCAGGATCACTATTAATTTCCATGTTCCTCTTTGAGTAGAATGTTGAAATTTTGTGTACTTTCCCTTATGGAATGCTAAGAAAGGTCCAAACTTGTTTCTCCCTTTAGTCTTTTCCATCATGGGTTACGTTACGCGAACCTCAATCTAACAATTTACAGAAAAAAATCTATTATGTTATTCAGTGAAACAATTATTTTGCGGTTGAAGCCTTCAATTAGGAGAAATTAAGAATTTTTTTTCTCACTCGCCAGGGCTATTTAATGTCAAAAAGGAGCACGAATGCCACGGGTGCCAAATCCAATAGCCAGGTCCACCCAAGAGACAGACTGCTGTCCTGTAATGACAAGAAGTGGTCATTGTAACAAGTGGTCAATGTGGTTTTCCATTGTAACAAGTGGTCAATGTGGTTTTCCAGTAGTCAAGTGTGGCTTATGATTGGTGCTGCTTTCTATGATACAGGAACATTGAACTGCAATTCTTCAAACAAACCATCTCAGATGATTTCTTCTGAGATTTCAAAAGGAGATTAACCTCAGATATTCTTATTTAAAACTCTGGGGCAGTGGCTCTCCACCTTTCCAAACAACTGTACGCCTTTCAAGAGTCTGATTTGTCTTGTGTACCCCCAAGTTTCACCTCCCTTAAAAGTTCCTTGCTTACAAAATCAGACATAAAAATACAAAAGTGGCACAGCACACTATTACTGAAAAATTGCTTATTTTCTCATTGCTACCATATAATTATAAAATAAATCAATTGGAATATAAATACTGTACTTACATTTCAGTGTATAGTATATAAAGCAGTATAAACAAGTCATTGACTTTATGAAATTTTAGTTTGTACTGACTTTGCTAGTGCTTTTTATATAGCCTGTTGTAAAACTAGGCAAATATCTATATGAGTTGATGTACCCCCTGGAAGACCTCTGCGGTGTACATGTACCACTGGTTGACAACCACTGCTCTGGGGTACCACACTGTATAATTGGAAGCATGAATGAAGGGATATTTGAGGGAGGATGGAGGAGTTCCAAAGAATTTTCTTGGAGCATTTGGGAAAATTCCATCATCCACAAAAGGACTTCACACAGTGCTGTCTGTTTGAAAGTGGTGCTGCTTTGGGGTCTGGTCTCGAGGCCCTGGTAGTGAAGGGCATATTAAATCAGATCCTTCCACATAGCCAAATAATATTAGCACCAGAAGAACTGAGAGTGTCTTGAGGGGCACACACTGACTTTTAAACAAATATCCCAGCCAATCTGAAGAGGAATTTAGTATGGTACAATACTACTCATGTCTCACCCTATGTAGCCCTTGTAATATGGGACACTGGGAAAGAAGGTGTGATAGCAATAGATACATGTCCTCATTACAGCTCTGATGGCTAGCTCACCACATGCACTGCATCAGCCAAAAGAACTGTCATCCTGCTGCCTTCTTCACTTCCTGAGTGTGTGCATGGTGAATCAAAGAAGCTATTTCCCTCCATGTGTTTAATATTGAAGATTCACTTTAAGGCCAAAAAAGACATACAAGAAGAGGTGCTAACCTCAAATTCCACCTATAAAGGTGTTTTGCGAATCCAGAGAGTTTCTCCGCCTAATATTAAGTGCCCCGGGTAAAACAACAGTGCATTTTGCCGGGGTTGGTGGGTAGGATGAACAGATGAAGGAACACACACACCCACACAATCTGTCAGCAAGAAGATTTACTTAGAAAACTTTATCAGGTTTTTCCTACCACCTCACCCCTTTAGTGCAGTCCACAAGTCACTATTTGTGACTGTTCACGATGAACTACTTTAGGTACAATTTTCTTTTGACCTAATTATCATTTCCTTTCACTACCCTTGTTTAAAATTAGATCAAGACAGCACGTAGCCCAAACTAGTCTGCAAACAGATATAGTATTCCTATAATAGATACACATAAGGTGGCACATGCCACCAGGCTCAGCTATAGAGCAGAGATCTCCAGCAGGAGGCATTTGGTTGCCTTTTCCCAAATCATAATCCACACCCTATTCTAGAGCTACCAGGTCTGCATAGGAGAAGTAGCTGTTGCTCACACCCTACCCTCTTCTGAAGATAGCAAGCTAATAGTGGGAAAACCACTAGCAACCCTCTTCTACGGCTAGGAATTTTATACCATGCTCATCCTCATATCATCTTGAGTACCTGACAAATTCTAAAAGCAAACACAAGCGATTCCTCATTCCCTCTCTACTCTACCCAAAGAAACATTTTTTGTTTCTCTATTTTTTGTTGTGGGAAGGCTGAGTTGAAGACAGAAATGGTTTGGTATTTCTACCCAAAGTAGGGAGATTCGTGGTGATTCCTCAGAGCTGCTGTTCATAGGATTCTCTAGTGATTCGAAATAAAATATTTTCCAGCATCACGAAAGCCATATTTATCCTTATATAGAAATTATACATTATTTGCATTAGCAAAGGGGGTGGAAGAAGGGACGTTAGAGCCCTCATTCTGCTTTCACCCATGCTTTGCAGTGAGGATTCAGGTTAAATCATTCAAATGCTGGGTGGCTCCCAGCCACAATGCCCACGTGCCCAGGACAGACAAGTTCTCCCACAAATCAGTGGGAAAGGATCAGAGCACCTCCGCTTATTGA